AAAAAAGAAAATTACAGACCAATATCTCTTATGAATGTAGCTGCAGAAATTCTCAACAAAATTCTAGCCAATAGAATTCAGCATCATATCAAAAAAAATAATACACCACGACCAAGTAGGATTCATACCAGGTATGCAAGGATGGTTCAACATTAGAAAATCAACGTAATCCGCCACATAAATAAAAGGAAATAAAATAATCACATGATTATCTCAATTGATGCAGAAAAGGCATTTGACAGAGTCCAACACCCATTCCTGATAAACTCTCAATAAAATAGGTATATAGAAGGGAAGTTTCTCAACATAATAAAGGGCATCTATGCAAAACCGACGGCCAACATCATCTTAATGGAGAGAGGCTGAAAATTTCCCCTTGAAAACAAGAACAAGACAAGGATGCCCTTTATCACCATTCTTATTTAACATTGTACTGGAAGTCCTAGCTAGAGCAATAAGGCAGGAAAAAGAGATGAAGGGCATCCAGATTGGTAATGAAGAAGTTAAACTGTCCCTGTTTGTGGATGGTATGATACTATACATAGAAAACCCTAAAGACTCCACGAGAAAACTACTGGAACTAATAGAAAGTTTCAGCAGAGGAGCAGGATACAAGATAACATACAAAAATCAGTTGGATTCCTGTACACCAATAGAGAGAAAGATGATAAGAAAATCAGGAAAACAATACCATTTATAATAGCCCCTAAAAAAATAAAATGCTTAGGAATAAATCTAACCAGAGATGTAAAAGACCTATACAAAGAAAACTACAAGACACTGCTGCAACAAACCCAAAGGGATCTACATAAATGGAAAAACATACCATGCTCATGGATAGGTAGATTCAACATTGTGAAAATGACAATTCTACCCAAAGCAATTTACAAATACCATGCAATCCCGATCTAAATACCAATAACATTCTTTAAAGAGATGGAAAAACTAATCATTAACTTTATTTGGAAAGGGAAGAAGCCCCAGATAAGTAAAGGACTATTGAAGAAGAAGAATAAAGTAGGAGGACTTGCACTACTTGACCTCAGAACCTACTATACAGCTACTGCAGTCAAAACAGCCTGGTACTGGTACAACAACAGATACAGTGACCAATGGAACAGGATTGCGAACTCAGATGTAAATCCATCCACCGACTGTCACCTGATCTTCAACAAGGGCCCAAAGTCCATCAAATGGGGAACAGACAGTCTTTTTAACAAATGGTGCTGGAAAAACTGGATATCCGTCTGCAAAAAAAATGAAACAGGACCCATGCCTCACACCATATACAGAAACTACTTCAAAATGGATCAAAGATCTAAATATAAAGCCAAAAACTATAAAGTTCATAGGAGAAAAAATAGGATCAACGCTATTGTAACTTTGGGGAAGGGTAAGACAGTACACAATACTGGAGAAGCCAGCACAACTTGTACAAGGAAAGGTCATGGAAGCTCCATAAGCACATCCAAACTCCCCGAGGGACCGATTTGCTGGGTGGAGGGCTGCAGGGACCATGATCTTGGGGAACATCTAGCTCAACTGGCATAACACAGTTTATAAAGAAAATGTTCTACATTCTACCTTGGTGAGTAGCGTATGGGATCTTAAAAGCCTGTGAGCAGCCATCTAAGATACTCCACTAGTCTCACCCCTTTGGGACCAAGGGAGAATGAAGAAAACAAGATACAAGGGAAAGATTAGTCCAAAGGACTAATGGACCACAACTACCACGGCCTCCACCAGCTGAGTCTGTTACAACTAGATGGTGCCCGGCTACCACCACTGACTGCTCTGATCGGGATCACAACAGAGGGTCCTGGACAGAGCTGGAGAAAAATGTAGAACAAAATTCTAACTCACAGAGAAAGACCAGACTTACTGGCCTGCCAGAGACTGGAGAAACCGCGAGAGTATGGCCCCCGGACACCCTTTCAGCTCAGTGATGAAGTCACTCCCGAGGTTCACCCTTCAGCCAAAGATTAGACAGCCCCATAAAACAAAACGAGACTAAAGGGGCACAACAGTCCAGGGACAAGGACTAGAAGGCGGGAGGGGACAGGAAAGCTGGTAATAGGGAACCCGAGGTTGAGAAGGGACAGTGTTGACATGTCGTGGGGTTGTTAACCATTGTCATAAAACAATATATGTACTAACTGTTTAATGAGAAACTATTTGTTCTGTAAACCTTTATCTAAAGTACAATTTAAAAAAATATATATCTCTTGGATGGGTGGCCCATGCCTACTTTTCATTTGGTTAAATCCAACTGGCATTTGTATATATGATCCCCAGTTATGGAACCAAGACTAAACCCATTGCCATTAAGTCAATTCCAACTCATAGTGACCCTAGAGGACAGAGTAGAACTGCCCCGTAGGGTTTCCAAGGAGTGGATGGTGGATTCAAACTACCAACCTTTTGGTTAGCAGCTGAGCTCCTAACCACTTCGCCACCAGGGCTCTAGGAACCAAGACTAGACAAAGCAAAATACAGAGGGAGAAATGAATCCCTAGTAAGAATGTGCTGGAAAAGTCTCAGTGTGGGGGACCCTGGGTGGGTCATATGGAAAATTTCTTGGAGGTGCTGAGACTTTCAGTGGGTTCTGCTTAGCAACCAGTGAAAACGGAGGATATGACAGGTATCCAGTTCAGGCAGAAATCTTAAGCTTCAATATGGGTTTTCCCCCCTATAATTATTTATTTTGGCTTTTTAAATCAGAACTATGGAACTGTGAAGTTCCCCTTTTGCGCAGTTTTCCATAGGGCGAGCCTGTGAAAAACACTTTCAAGAAGTAAAAAGCAGAGCCATGTGGGAGGGTCCCTCCGATTTGGGGGGTGCCCCGCGTGGATAAGAGTCCCTGGGTAGTGCAAACTGTTAACGTGCTCGGCTGCTAACCAAAAGGGCGAATGAGTCCACCCGGAAGTGCCTCAGAAGAAAGGCCTGGCTGTCTACCTCTGAAAAGTCAGCCATTGCCCTACAGAGTGCAGTTTTACTCTGACACACATGTGGCTGCCATGAGTCTGCATGGATAGCTTGGCAGTCAGAGAACTGTGTGTCAGGGACAAGTACTTTACTTGGCTGGGAGTGGGAAGAGAGGTCCCAAATCAAATAGGAAACTCCCCAGAGGAAAAAGGACAGTAGGACTGACTTTCCAGAGCAGCTCCTTTGATTTACTATCTGAGTAAGATGTTAATGTTTCCAAACCTTATAGAGAGGCCTGCGTTTCAGGATTTAAGGCCAAACCTATTGTACTGAATAGTCACAACAGTGGACTCAAACATACCAACGATCACGAAGATGGCACAGGATCCGACAATGTTATGTTCCGTTGTTCATAAGGTCACCATGAGTTGGAGGCAACTTGATGTCAACTAACAACAATATTGTACTTAGGTCGTGAAACTTTCATTTGCTAGGGGAAATTACAAGTCATTTTCCGTAAGATGTATAAAATTAAAGTGATACTCACAAAACACATCTCCTCGAAGGCTTTGCTCCCACTCCACGTGGTTCTTCAGGGCTTTCTCATCTCTTTTCTCTTCCTCAAGCTCCTCTTCCTTTCTCTCTTCAGGCCCTTTTTTTTCTCCATTAGCGTTGCCACTCCGGTAAACACTCTCTTCATGGCTGAACGGCTGCAAGTTAACCTTAGGGGCAGGAGTCCCAGTGCGTTCTGGGATCACATTTTTTATTTTTCCCTTCTTTCTCATGCTCTTCTTGTGAGCAAGCAGCTTCTTGATTGGGTCTTTGATGGTACCAGGTGCTTTGCGGATTTCCTTCACAGAATTCTCAGGGATAACTAAAACAGAAAAGGTGAAAAGTTCCAAATTGGTTGATGATTTGGAACTCATGACAAATGGAGCATTTAAAAAGTGTTAAAGTGCAGTAAGTGAATGCTTCCAGAACCAATCCATATGAGGGTCTCTTGATTGACATTTCAGGAAAAACTATATTTGCATCTGCTTTCAGGAGTTCCAATGTTATGGTAGTGAGAGGAGAGGGTTAGAGGACACACTTTTGTTTTGCTTCAGAGACTAGTGAAATAACCTGCTATTCCCCAGTTAGGCTGGAGTCCCTGGGTAGTGTAAATGGTTAATGTGCTCAGCCACTAACCAAAAGGTTAGAGGGTCAAGTCTATGCAGAGGCACCTCGGAAGAAAGGCCTGGCGATCTACTTCCAAAAAACCAGCCATTGAAAACCCTATGGAACAGCAATTCTATTCTGACATACATGGGGTCACCATGAGTCAGGGTTGATTCAGCAGCAACTGGTTATTGGTTACCCAGTCGGGCTACAGATCCCAAGTGATGGATTTGCCAGGGTCTCTAATATTTCTGCTTTCACGCTGGTATGCCCCAAATCTGGTGTTGTCCAGGTAACTGTATTTATTTGTCCCGATTTGATGTTCAAAGATTCTAGCCATGGCTATTGTCATGGATTGAATTGTGTCCCCCCAAAATATCTGTCAACTTGGCTAGGTCATGATTCCCAGTATTGTATGATTGTCTACCATTTTGTCATCTGATGTGATTTCCCTATGTGTTGGAAATCCTATCACTATGACGTATTGAGATGGATTAGTGGCAGTTATATTGATGAGATCTACAAGATTAGATAGTGTCTTAAACCAACCTCTTCTGAGATATAAAAGAAGCGAGCAGAGAGACATGGGGACCTCATACCACCAAGAAAGCAGTGCTGGGAGCAGAGTGTGTCCTTTGGACTCGAGGTCCCTGTGCAGAGAAGCTCCTAGTCCAGGGGAAGATTGATGACAAGGACCTTCCTCCAGAGCCGACAGAGCAAAAGCCTTCCCCCTGGAGCTGACACCCTGAATTTGGACTTCTAGCCTACTAGACTGTGAGAAAATAAATTTCTCTTTGTTAAAGCCATCCACTGTGGTATTTCTGTTACAGCAGCACTAGATGACTAAGACAGCTGTATACATTGAACCACATGAAGTTGCCAATAATGGACCATTTGTGATCTGTATAAATGGCAATTTATGCTTCAATGTATACATACCTAATTTTATTCCTCTTTTTCTCTCCACTTTGAATTTCTTCACCTCAATCAACTACTATTTAAAGCTAAGTGATTTTATTTATTCAATATGTATAGAGGCTTCTCTAGTTCTTGTTTTACATTTATTTCTGATTTCTCACTGCTAAATTAAATTTCTTTTAAAAATGAACTTCTAAATTGATTCCTCCCATCCCCAGTGGATCAGTGGCCCTTGGTGGGGTGGCGGGGGGTGGGGAGAGGTAGGGGGAGTGTGGTGAGTGAAGAAGAACTCCAAAGGTAGAGAAAAGTAATTAACCCCAACATCTTTTTTTTATAGATATGGAAACTAGGTGATTTGCCCCAAATCACTGAGCTACCTAGCGGTAGAGCTAGGATTTGAGGGTAAAGTTTATGAATGACTCCTTTTCCAGTTGTATTTCCATGATAGGTTTATTACTGCTTGAGGGTCAAGGGTTACTTTTCTCTAGACTGGTTTAAATTCCTTGAGATCTACAATCCAAAGGTGCATGTCTTTTTTTGAGGGATATAGTCATGATAATTAAGACTATCCAACTGATGTAAAAAAGTAGTTAATTTTTTAAAATTAAAAAAACTGATGCTTAAAATCAAATATATTTTTCTGTTATAAAATATCTAGGCATGTACTAGTCTGAGACTAAGCAAAACAGATTCTAATAACACCTGAATCAATTCACTCAGTTCTACTACTTGGATATAGTTTCGAGGGAAAGGAAAATACAGGAGTAGATATCAAGTTGGGTCCTAAAAAGACTATTATAAAAAGAAATTGTATTCGAATTTTATTAGAGTATTTTTCTTGGCAATGTTTTAATCTCCTCCTGTTCAGCTCCTTGGCTGATTCAATCTGTACCAAAGTAGTAGAAAAATAAACAAAAGTCCACAATATTTTGGGTAACCAAAAGGAGTAAGAAAAATGCTTTGAAAATATCTATGCTGCTAATTAACTACGTAGCTTTTACTTTTCAATCTAAGGCTGTTATGACAAAAGAGATACATTTCCCTTTTCAATGAAATATTCTAGTTATTTATCACTGTGACAGCCTGTAGTTATAGGTACAAAATCAACTAGTACTAATACAAGTAATGCATCATTACTCATTTTCCTGACCTTCGGATGGCCTGTTTTAGCTACTTTGCCAAAGGTTGCTTGCTAAGTTTTGATTGTAATGTGCTGATCCTTCTCTGGAGGCCCCACTATATCATTCCGTCCACGGTTCCCTGAATTTTTCCCAGTACCCAGCATGAAAAATTAACAGGAAATACCCATCCTCTGTAAATTTCCTTTATGCAGTCAGTACCAAAACTATGGACTTTAATAAGTAGCGACAGTGAGTTTCAATCCACGGCAGGCAAACCTAAACATCTGCTTTCAGTTTCTGCTTTGACATTTTCCTGTTGAAAAGAAAAAAAAAAATGGAAACATCATAACCTTGGTGTCAATGATTTCACGGCTTTAGGATGTAAAGAGAAGGCTGGGACAAGGATAAAAATGCAGTCTAAAGATATGAATATGTATGGATATGAAAGAACAGATTTGGCTTTGCCTGTCCAGGTATTTTTGTTTCAAATTTGACATAACTAACGATTATTTTCATTTAATAATATTCCTTATTATTGCATGATCTTTTCCAGAATATAAAAACATGAGAGGAAGTTGCAGTAGGAAGGTCTTTGTCATGTTTGGGGATCTCAGACATAAACATAGTGAATCCCAGAGCCTTCAGGTTCACGGTTGGGTCTTCTGTATAGATGAAGTTGGCAGTTTCTCTTGGGAACTTGAGATTTCTCTAGAGGCCCACTTTGCCAAAATCGTCTATGATAAAGAACAGCCTACCTGAAAATCCTAATTTGAATTTCATATCTTTGGGATAAGACTTTATTTCTAGAAGATCAGTATTATGTGGGAATATCTTACCCAGGAGGAATATGGTTTTAATATTCATTCACCTGTGCTTAGTTAATCAGATGATTTCCTATCATCTGGCAGGAGAAACGCTCTACTAATATGAGCTCGAGTCTGTCAGTTTGTCGTACGGTGGTGGCTTGCATGTTGCTGTGATGCTGGAAGCTATGTCACCAGTATTCAAATACCAGCAGGGTCACCCATGGTGGACAGGTTTCAGGTGAGCTTCCACACTAAGACAGACTAGGAAGAAGGACCTGGCAGTCTACTTGTGAAAAAAAATTAGCCAGTGAAAACCTTATGAATAGCAGCAAAACATTGTGTGATATAGTGCTGGAAGATGAGCCCCTCAGGTTGGAAGGCATTCAAAATGCGACTGGGGAAGAGCTGCCTTCTCAAAGTAGAGTCCACCTTAATGACGTGGATGGAGTCAAGCTTTTGGGACTTTCAATTGCTGATGTGGCATGACTCAAAATGAGAAAAAACAGCTGCAAACATCCATTAATAACAGGAACATAGAATATACGAATTATGAATCTAGGAAAATTGGAAATTGTCAAAAATGAAATGGAATGCTTAAACATCGGTACCCTAGGCATTAGTGAGCTGAAATGGACTGGTATTGGCCATTTTGAATCAGAGAGTTATATGGTCTACTATGCCAGGAATGATAACTTGAGGAGGAATGGTGTTGCATTCATTGTCAGAAATAACATTTCAGCATCATCCTGAAGCACAACGCTGTCAATGATAGGATAATATCCATGCACCCACAAAGATAGCCAGTTAATACGACTATTATTCAAATTTACGCACCAACCACTAAGGCCAAAGACGAAGAAATTGAAGATTTTTACCAACTTCTGCAGTCTGAAATTGATCAAACATGCGATCAAGATGCATTGATAATTACTGGAGATTGGAATGCGAAAGTTGGAAACAAAGGCAAAGGAACGGTAGTTGGAAAATATGGCCTTGGTGATAGAAATGATGCCGGAGATCACATGATAGAATTTTGCAAGACCGACGACTTATTCGTTTTAAATACGTTTCTTCAACAACATAAACAGAGACTGTACACATGGACCTCACCAGATGGACCACACAGGAATCAAATCGACTACATCTGCGGAAAGAGAGGATGGAGAAGCTCAGTATCATCAGTCGGAACAAGGCCAGGGGCCGACTTCGGAACAGACCATCAATTGCTCATATGCAAGTTCAAGTTGAAGCTGAAGAAAATTGGAACAAGTCCACAAGAGCCAAAGTACTACCTTGAGTATATCACACCTGAGTTTAGAGATCATCTCAAGAGTAGATATGATGCATTGAACACTAATGACCGAAGACCAGACGAGTTGTAGAATGTCATCAAGGACATCATACATAAAGAAAGCAAGAGGTCATTAAAAAGACAGGAAATAAATAAAAGACCAAAATGGATGTGAGAAGAGACTCTGAAACTTGCTCTTGAACATCCAGTAGCTAAAGCGAATGGAAGAAATGATGAAATAAAAGAGCTGAACAGAAGATTTCAAAGGGCAGCTTGAGAAGACAAAGTAAAGTATTATAATGACATGTGCAAAGACCTGGAGTTACAAAACCAAAAGGGAAGAACACACTCAGCATTTCTGAAGCTGAAAGAACTGAAGAAAAAATTCAAGCCTCAAGGTGCAATACTGAAGGATTCTATGGGCAAAATTTTGAAGATTCAGGAAGCATCAAAAGAAGATGGAAGGAATACACAGAGTCACTGTACCAAAAAGAATTGGTCGATGTTCAGCCATTTCAGGAGGTAGCATATGATCAAGAACCAATGGTACGGAAGGAAGAAGTCCAAGCTGCACTGAAGA